TAACTCTTCCCCCATTTCCTCATTATAGCATGAACTTTGATTCTTTACTTGTTCCATGTATTTCTTTATAAGATTTCTTTTTTTTTTTAGAAAAAAACAACACTAAGTCCATGCATGTGTGAAGCAGAGATAAAAGAAAGATTTAGGCAAGTCACTGTGTTTCCTTTCCAACTTTAGCTAGAAGGTCTCTGAGGAAGAAAGTAGAGAATTTGTTGGGTTGTGGTCTGTGCTGGAAGGAGCTAGGGACTCCAGGTACTGTTTTGATACAAGTAGAGGAAAAAATCCCCATTCTTATAAATAGCATGACATAGAATGGAGGCATAAATAGGAATGGTACCATTTTAACTCTTGGTCTTGTTTGTCAAAGACAAATATGCTGTCAGTGATCAAATACTGAAATGTTATAAGGCTGCAGTGGACAGCTACAATATAAAGAAAATGCTATTTTTTATCTCAGTGAAGACTTTTCAGGGCAACAGGTGCATCCATTCTAGCTTGTACAGTACAAAGTAAAATGACTTCTTGATGGTCCTGACAGTTCATCAATGGCTTTATCTGTAATATATTATGTATTTATAGATGTATACATATTTATATGTATGTATTATGTAATTGAAATTTTAATTTCACTTGACAAACAAGGAAATTCAGCAAAAAGTAAGTGCATGTTACTGCTTTCTAGCTTTAGTGTAGCTGAAGATGGGTCAGTGCTGTGTCAGGACAGAAAGCCAAAAAGAGTCCTCCAAAACTCTTTTAAAGAAAGTATTGAATATCTAAATTAATGGTAGATGTTAAAGCCTGCCCTTAAAAAGAGTTTTTCTTACCACAGCTAATAGGTTTAAATGATTTCAGAGTTTAATTTTTGGAGTAGAACCCACAGGGGGTCAGCTTCACTCAAAGTGAAATGTGAGGCCTAAAAAAAAAACATGCATCTCTTAGGAACACAGAATTTGAAAAAGAAACCTGTGGTGCCTGTATAGCATTATATAAATTCTAGTTTGCTTTATGATATGAAAAACAGCATGAGAAGAACCTTGGCTGTACCTCCATTATACTTTTGTAGGACAGCCAAACACTTTAGTCACCTATATGTTCTGGGTTCCAAAACCAGTTCTAATACCAAGTTAAAAATGTAAAAAAATTGACATTCAAGTTTATTAAAGTGAGTAAAACTTGGACAGGATTCAACAATATGCTGAATAAAGATGCTTTCTGACAGTTGATTTAAGTTTACTGTAGAAAAATGGTGAAGGGCTTGAAGTTCAATGTGCAATGCCCAAATCATTAAGAACTGTGTATCAGAGAATCCTTTTAAAACAACTGCTGATTGAGACAGTCACCTTATTTCTTAGAAATACAGGAGAATTCAAGTGATAGCAACTGTTGTTTATCAGATGTTTAGATTTTCATTATTATGATCAACCAACACTGAATTGCTAGCTGAAATGCTGAAAGGAAAAATCAGTTAAAAATTCCTCATGTACCTGTGTATATTTTTGAGATTGCTTCATTATAACTTTAATAAGAAGAAATGATTTTCTCTTTCTTCCCACTAAACATAAAATGTTATCTCTGCTGCAGTACATATGGTATTTTAATTGCATTTCATTGCTCTCAAACATAATTTTTTGCATGTTAAGTCTAATTATATTAGAGCTGAATCAGTGCTCACATGAGAGAATTTGCTAAAATATACTATTATACATAGTAAATACAAAAGTGGGTTTTTTTTCCCTATATCTTGAAGGTCTGATTTATTTTAAGAATGAGTTGCCATTCAAGACATAAACATTATATCTAGTAAGGGTATTGCAGCCTTTTTTGAGAGTGCTTTATTTCTTCTAAATAGCGAAAAATTACAGGTTCAAATTACATACATCATAGACTGGCTTTTAAGAGAAAGCAAATGTTTGCTAAGTGATGAACTGACAAGGACTCATAGAGTCATTAAGTTGGAAAAGACCTTTAAGGCCATCAATATTTGGGACCTATTCTGAGGGATACAAAACAAGTTTGGCTGCCCCAGTATGATGTAAGATGCTGAAATCTCTCCTATGTCTTCATTGAGAAACTTTTTATATTGAGTGTAACAAGAAATGCAAAACCAAAAGCACACAAACAAGCTCCCCAGCCTTTTCCAGTAGCTAGTCCATTCAGAAAGAAGGCCTGTTGGAGTACTTGAAAGTAGTAAAACTGGTAGCTACCACTTAACACTGCTTTCTGGAGTTAAAATTAGTAATTATATCCATCTCTCAAGCATTTCTTCCTCATCTGTAAAATAGTTACCTAATTCTTTTGCATGAGCTATGTGTGTGAGCAACATGGCCTGCTGCAGGTTGAAGTTATGCTGGAGCTCATCTAAAATTAGCAGTGTCTGGGGCATGCTCTGAAGCCAGCTTTTTGTTTTTCTAGTTTCTCTGTATTTTTTTGTTTGATGGGACTTTTTCCTCTTAAGAAGAGGGATACAGTTTAGGCATGTCAACTGGTCAGAAAAAAACTGGACTACATGGGTGATATCTAATCTTGGTAAAAAAAAAAATATGAGAATGAAGCCCTCCCTCCAGACCTGTGAGGGCTCTGGCTGTTGGTCAGGACAGACAAATGGTTTTTTCCTTTGTTATCAGCTGTTTGGGGAGAAGGAGCTTTGTATCGGAAATGAAGAATTCATTCAAGTGAAAGACCTTACAGGGAATACCTGTCTTGTAGTTCTTATGGCTATGTGCTTCCAACAGAAAAAAAATATTGTGTGGATTCATGTTTTTTCAATTGGTTAAAATCACATTCTGGATGGGTTTCAGTAATCTAGTGTTCACAAGACAAAGGCACCTACAGTTTTCATTGTTAGGACACAGAATTGCAAGGTCTTAATTTTCAAATTTAATATATATAAATGCCAGAGTCTCCTGTTCACACACAGAAAAACTGGTGGGATCCTGTTACACCAACTGGTGTTCCACTTGGATCACAACACTTGAGTCTTAGAGGCTGGAAAGGAAAGAAGTGTGATTCTTGCACTTAACCAAACAACTTGTTAAACTGTGAGAATATTGTTTAAAATGAAATCCTGATTAGAAGTAACCAAACATTTCTCACCTTTCTGAGCAAACTATTTTAGTGGTTAATTAAACCTATTGCTACATTGCAAGCTAGCAATATTTTGAATTTTGTGCAATTTTACCATCAGCATGGCTAATAGTCACACGGGAGGCAAATAGTATCATAAAATTATTATAAAAAGGTGGAGAGTGCTGTACCTGTGTGTAAGGGTTAAATAGGATCAGCTTCTCTACATATTTTTTGTCTTAGAGCGAGAGGGATGTCATATGGAACATTTTAAAGATCTACCCCTTCCATATGTTGTACGATGAATTGAAGTTAGTTGTCTGTTATGTGTGCTGCCCTTGAGGAGATGGGGAAAAAAAGGAATACCAATAAAGGTAGTGAGTGTCTTGTAAACATGGAATGACATGGCATTATGTTAATTTGTTGCAAATGGCATCAAAATATGTTGATGGGGGAATATTTTTGGAAAATTGAGTTAGGACATTAAATTTGTGTCTTGAACAAATATTTTTTCATTATGAATAATGGGCTTTTTGGCAAAAATATCGATAGGGTACATGAGTATCACTTTGAGCTAAAATCAGAAGGGCAACAGAACTTAATTTCTCTGTTGCTCCTTTGGGGAAAGACAGTTTGTTTCTGACTTGCTTTCAGAGGCATAAAGGTCTGGAAGATTATATATATATACACATATATGCAAGTCTTCTGCTGCAATTTCATGTTACCCTATGATGTACAGGACTTGATGGGAGGGAACATGACCATATGGAAATGGCTTTCTTATCCAAGTGGAAACAGGTTTAGTCAGCTTGCAGGAGGGGTCATAAAACCCTCAAATATTTCTTAAATAATACAGTAGAGGAACTCACAGAGCTGTATTTTAATGGCCATTAATTGCTTCTGCTGTGCATTCAGGGTCAGGATACATGGAATACATATGCTTTTCTTATGAATGGAAGGAAAAATATCTTCTGAGCAAAAGAAAATCTAATGTTAATTAAAATTTTCCAGGGCTTGGGCTGGATAATTCTTCCTTTGTGTTCTTAAATCTCTTTTGATTTTAATTGCATGACAAAAAATTGACTGTAAGTGTAATGTTAGCAAATGTTCGTATTTGATTACAAGCATCTGTGAATGCTAAGTCAAAGAATTGAATTACTTTAATTGGGGTGGGTTTGTTTTCTGTTTCTTCATGAGGTTTTTTGTATATTGGCTTTTTTTTTCCCCAAGACAGCCACACTGGTAATAAAGCTTGTACTGTCAGTATGCTGAAGGTCATTCCTATAATCTATTCAGTGAGATCTGCTCCCCTTTAGGTGAAAAAAAATTCAACTGAGCATACCTAAAAATGTCTAGAAAATCCTATTACATTTACTGAATTTCAGTTATGTATTTCAGATTCACAAAGAATTCAATGAGTTCTCAGATCAAATATCAACATTTGTAGCAAGTTTCCAGTGTTTCCCTCCCTCCCCCTTTCTGTGCTGTCTTAGAGAAACAAGGAAATTCTTCTCAGATATGGCAAAGGATAAAAAGAAATTATTAACATTAAAACATACCTAATACTGTGTGATATGTTTTAAAACTGGAAACAAAGGTAGGATATGTCTTATCTGTCTGTCATGACTCCCTGTGCATCTGTCTGTCTCTCTAGAGCAAGTCAATAAAAATTATTAGAGCTGGCATCTCACAATAGTACACCCTTAAAGCATGAAGCAATAATACTGTGAAGGAAATTTTTTTTCTGACCTTTTCAAATTACATCCAACTGTCTAGGGAATTTCTCAGTGACTAGGGGTAATAAAGTTCAATCCGTTTTGCCGGTTGGCTTCAAATTTAGCTCCTCAGAAGCCCTAACTTATCTATTCTTTTTATCTTGGCCTTGGCATCTATTCAGTACAGTAATCCATGCATCTAATCTTTTTTTTCTCTCCCCTCTCAGGTTTAGCTGGTGGATCATATTGTGAAAACTGCAGCCATGAAAGGCCCTCCATTTACTGCACCCTTCAAAACAAAATGTTAGCATGGGAGGCTAAGCTGGTATGTTGCCTTGGAGAGGCTCTTGTTGAATTTAATTAGCTTTTAGATTTCATCTCCATCTCACATCTCAGCTTTCACCATTGTGTGTGATTTAGGCTTCACTGACTTCCATTATTTAAAACTTTTCCAACTTAGCTGTGCCACTTTAGAATAATAAGGGGAAAGTAAAGGTTAAAGTTCATTGTCTTAAATTGATTTCTAATTAGTTTTTATGATATGAGCTCAGAAACAATAGAGACACAGCCTCTCAGTAAGTTAGTATGCAAGTGACAAAGACAAATAACCATTTCTGTAAAATTAGAAACAGGTAAAGAACATTTTTAGCAAAATATTTCTTAAATTATTTTTAAATTTATAAAAAAACTGGGCTTTACTGCTGTCTCTTCCCTGAAATATGGAGTCAGTGTTTAGATGTGATCTGCTAATGAATGGTCTGCAGAACGTTCAAGATGCATGAAGCACCTGTAAAACACTTGCTTTTACTCATGCAAATAATACATTGGAAATCATATGTCTTCCGTATTAGCTATCTTGATAGAATTGCAAGGGAAAGGAGTAGCTACAAAATGGTTGGTAAAGATAGGAGATTTGGTGTTTTGTGTTTTTGTTTGTTTGTTTGTTTGTTTTTTTTTCTGAATTCTACTTCATTTTGATTCTCTCTTCTGAAGTGAAGGGAAACATGGTCAGATGGGTAAAGTACAAAATTGAGAATTTCTAGATCTTGCCCCTGTATGTAAATGGGCCTCTACTAGGTCTGTAATGTTTGCCAAGTCACTCAATCACTCTGTACCATTACCCTGGCTATTGTGAAAAGCTCTCAGGGAATGCTCAGCAGAGGATGAGCACAGGATGGAATCTGACTATTTCACTGTGTTTAATTGATTCAGCTAAAATTAAATAGGTTCATTTTTAATCAAAATATATTGTGCTCCATTGATACTAGCCTTGTTGAAAGTGGGATAATCAGTAATCTGAAGGCTTTTCATGCGTAAAAGAATGGCATTCTCAACAAAATTACTGAGGATATCTTTAATTCTGAAATTAATTTAGAAAAACAGTACCCCACATTGGTAAGGCTTCTCACATTCACAGGTATTTTTTTTAGGGTCCTTACTGTCACTTCCTGAAAAGAAACGTTGCTAAATTGACAGATCCAGTTATATTTTTAATCAAGCAAAAATAAGCATTTCAAAATTCTTTTATTAGTTTAGTGCAAAAGATAACATACCTAAATTTGCAATATGCTAGATCATGTCCTTGTTTCAGAGCTAATATGGAGGGACATATTAGAGTGTACATGAACACTCAGCTTAGTACTAAAATAAAGTTAAATAAATGTTTGTGTGGATGTGTTCATTTACTTTCACATCTTGGAAGCTCCACTGATACATGTTATTTTTTAGTAGAACCAACTGTTTTGCAGTCTACATGAATTAGCTTCTCCTGATACTCCAGTATTCAGGTTGGTCAATGGATATTGTGACAAGCAACCCAAAAGGGTCCATAGTTTACCATGTAGCAGAGAAATACCTCATGGAATAAGGAAGTTGTAGTTTCTCAAAGTGGTGTCACTGTTGTTATATCTATATATGTTTTTTTTACAGTAGGTATTTCAAAAATATACAATAAATATCCCCCATAATATTTCAGGCAGAAACAGATAGGAATGGGATACTTTTAAACGCAAGTGGGATATTAAGGTGGTGGCAATGTGAATTTTCTTTCACTGAACACTTTCTTATTTCCAGAATTCATTCTAATTTGCAAAACTGAATACTGGGTAGAAGCAGTTCTGATGACAGGTTTTTCTACCATACTGATGGTTTTCAATTCAAAAGTATTGAAAATTAATTTTAAGGAAGAAATATTTTTCTTATTTGTTTATTTGAATTCCATTCAGCACAGTATATATTACATAAATGGATCTATGTTGTGATACTCAAATGCTTATATTTCATTTCTTGGTGTGTCTATGTGTACAACCATGAAGCTAAAGGTGTTGTTTTCCACTTGGAATGTAGCTATGTTTTACTTTATGTTTTACTTACCTGGTCCAAGTCAGGAATTATGGATTACTGAAGGCCTCAACACCTCAGAATGTTATTCTAGTTTTTCTTATTACTGGGGAATATTGAAATCTTTTTTGCAAACTAATCCATTCATTAAAGTAGCTAATTCAAAACAAACAAACAAACCACAAGTGTCTCTCAAATCAAACATATAATATTATGTCTTGTAGTGGGAAACAACAGATGTCCTAATGTTTTCCTGGTTTAATGTCTTTATAGCTTTCCTTTCTATTCTGTCTTTCTTGATTTTCATAAATAGGGAATACAGTAATAGCATGCTAGGGGGTAGGCATATGAAAAATGGTGTTTCAGCTTTGCTTTTTCCTCAGTTAGAAAATACCTAGTTGAACAAATCTTTCTGAGAAGAAAATGCTGTAGATCGTATCAAAGTAGCTCCTGTCTATGCATCAGTGATGTTAAAATAGGAGATTGCATAGTGCATATCAAAGGGATCGAATGCTATTGATGCACTGTTATTCAGTGTTATTTATATTTTCATTATTAGTTCATAAAGTCTTAATAATTAACTCTCTAATTTCCCAGAAAAAGCATGGTAATTTGTTGAAATAGTTGAAGGAAGGGAAAAAAAAAGCTGACCAATCTGGCATTGTAAGTTAATAGTATAGAATAAAGCATAGTCATAATTAGTTAGGAAAAGGACTTTCCCTGTTCATTCCAGTTCATAATAAAAAGTGCCTCACCAAAGTGACTTAGAAAATAATACATTCAGACTGAGCAGAATTACTGCCTAGCAGATTCTATTTATCTGTAGCTTAAAAAGCAGCTGCGTTTTTGTAAAAAGCAATGAATGTGGCAGTCCTACTTAAAGGTAGAAGAAAAAGAACACCCCTTGTTTTGTAATAAGGGGATTTTCAGTTTAAAAGAGAGAGAGAGCCTGTTGTGTGAAGTATGGTTATTACATTCACTGTATTCTATCTCACCCACCAGGAGGCTAATAACGAGGGAGTCAGTGAAGGAGACCAATGCCACAAGGGTTATCTCGCAGCCCCAGATGCTGGATAAGTTGAAGGAGGCAGAATCGCTTTTGGATGACATTCAGGAAGGCCTTGAATTATTATCTGGTGAAGAAAAGACTATTCTTTTCAAGGTAAACAATCCATTTCATCTGTCTGCAGTTTGGTGTTGGTGTAAAATATGTTTATATAAATACCTCTAAAGTTCATTTTTTATCATTTTTCAGGTTTTTTTCCCTAGATGCAGCAATGATCTATTAGGTATCCTTTTTGAGACAAAGGATCCACTCCACCTCCAACCTAAGGAAATGCTTTGAAGGAATTGACAAGCTCACTTTTAATCACAAGAGAGAAATTACCCACATGGAGTCAGCAGAAAATGAAAAAGTACAGCTCGTGCTGCGAATAATTCCAGCAAGTGCCAAGGGGCTAGTTGAGAAATGGCTTCATGAGGTGAATATCTTTAGCTCTTACTTAGGGTTTGGTTACTGTATGATCATTTTCTCTTTTAGGAGCAATGAATATTATAAGTGGATACTAAATAGCTCTCTGAATATTTGTCAAGATGTTGACAGATTTCAGCCTTATTGTTGTTATTTATTGCAACTAATTTAGCATCTGCAAATGTGCAGAAATTAATTCTAATAAAAATCTGTCTTGAATCAGGCTGTTAGCAGAAGTTGGTCTGTGTCTGAAACCATATGTGTGAATATATGTTTGAGTCTACATGTATGTGTTTTTGTGCTTTCATGGTGTAATGTCTGTAGTTTAGGAGGATAATATATGTAAAAAATAATCAAAGAAATGTAAGATTTTTGAATGCTTCCCTCCACCCTGCAGAAAGTGTGTCTCATTGTGTTGGAGGGGTTTAATATCCAATCATTTTAACAAAAGGGAAGAGAAATTATGTCACTGATAACATCCTAACCTTTCCCCTTTGGGCCTCTAATCTAAATTCATTGGTTTCAGTATGAAATTAGTTTGGTGACCTTTTTTGTTTACTTTATTTAACCTTCCTCTCCCAGTGGATGTGAATAGGACCTTCCATTCTTTTTTTCTTTCTGGGCATTTTTCTTCCATGTGTTTGCTTTCTCTAGGGGCAGGATCAGCCCCAGAAATTCCACTTCCCCTTTGTTCAGTGTTGTGGGTACTGGTCTCGTCCTCAGTGGCTTGTCCCTGGGTGCTCCCTAGGCAAGGGTGAGTGATAGGGACCAGCACCCAGCTCCAGCAGGAGAAGTGAGGGGCGGCTGGGGGATTGCTATTTGTAGAGCCAGATGATTGGGCAGAGACTGGGGGGGAATCCCTGGGCAGTGAAACCTGGAGCAGGTGGCAGGTTAAAGGTGTTTGGCCCTATTCCATATTGTGTTCCTACTGGCTGGGGGGGCAAAGCCCGGCTGCATAAGCCCACTTGTGAATCCCCTTTTCCCACGCGATGAAGCAGCAATGCGCCAGCTTTGGATGGAGCTCCTTTAGGGACTGACTGCACATGGTTTAAAATTATCCATCTTCATCATCATTCAGGATAGGGAAGAGAGAAGAGAAGGGGGATGATTTAGGCAAGCCCAAACACTTCCCACCCTGTTCTCTGTGTTGAGCCACTAGCTTGGTTTTGGAATAGTTTGGAGACAAAGTTGTCTTCCATTACAAAACAAACAAACAACAACAAAAAAGTGTAAAAGTGGAAAAGTGGCCATCCTGAGGAGTTCAGGAAAAATCCAGATTCTTAAGCCTATGATATAATTTTTAGTTTTTGCTTTCTTCCACAAATGAAACAGGGTTGAGGGAGGTGAGCAGCTGTGTTTATTTTAATATGTCTATTTTAACCCTCACCTAAAAACAAATGGGAATGTTTGGGAGTGCGTTAATTTGGATCAGATTAGTGTCTCTTTCTCTCTCAAAAGTGCAACCTGAGATAAATGAAAATAAACTGGAGTTTCATATGCAGTCTTTAAGTCATTTGCATGTTTTATGCATGATAATTGAATTTATTTATGCACTTCCTTTCATTTAATGATTTCTCACTCTTTTCTATGCTATCAACATTATATTATGCAAGAAGTAGGATTTGGTAGGCAAGAAAGGATAGCAGTATAAAAATCAAACCTGAGTTAATTTTGAGTTCTAGTGTCAACACTAGATCAGAATAATATTGGTCCCATGCCAGTGGGTCTACATGACTGGGAGGATGTAGAATTTTTTTGGTAAAGCATAGATTTTAGCTTGAGACATTTCTGATGTAGTCTAGTTTGCTTGCAAGTGCACAAGCAAAATTATTTTCAAATGGCAGTTAAATTATTGTATTGACTTTTCAATGACCCTTGTGTTTCTACTTGGCCAATTAGTAGTAATAAGAAGATGAATAGTAATTACACTAATAAATAACTGTGTTCAGACCAGGACCTCAGTATTATAGTCTGGGTTAGAAAATAAGGATATTTTATAATTTGTCTCATTTGGTTTTTCATCAGGAGAAATGGACTTTGGTGCTATAGTAAATTTGTCATAGCCAAGAAGGTAAAAGTCCTAGGGATGAGAGGGTCATATTTGACAGGAGCTCTGTGACAGCTGTTTCAGTGTCATAAGTAGGGAATCTTGTTCTGCTTCTGCAGTTAAGCTCAGATGTCTTAAAGATGTCGTAGTGTTGGAGTCCGATTTTTTTTATAATGCATGCCAGGAAGTTACTAAGGAAAATTAGGAAAAAGATGCTGGTAGTGATGCTTTCATAGCGTTTATCTATACCAGTTTCTTTTGTGTCTCTTGTCTTTCCTTATGTCTTGAAAGATGTATGTGGAAGTGATATTTTTCTGTGGCGTCCTGTCTTTTATCAGTGAATTAAATGGTTGTGTCTTGTGATTGTTTCCTGATTCTCATAGGTAGGAATGTGTTCAAAAGGCTAAAGCTTTGTTAATTTGTGATGTAACCATTTCAGTGTCTTTCTTGTCATTGAAATGTAGTTTAAAATGTTCAGTAATGTAGCATGAAATCATTGGTTAGTTTTGGAATGGTGATGAAATCATGTGAAGAAAATAAGTTTTGCATCTGATCAAGATAAATTCACTCTAGTGTTTTATGGCTTTTTATTCCTATGTGATAGTAATAAAGTCTCATGTAGGGATGGAAGCCATGAAATACATTGTGAAAAATCATCAACTCAGATGGGGCCATCAGGATAGCATGCTGTAGTTCTAGAGTTATGGAGAATGATTGGAAGATGGTTTAGTGTGTCATCAGTTTGACTACCATGTTTTTTGTTTCTTCATCCTTCACCCATGAATTTTGATGAGAGGAAATCAGTTTGTAACAAGATGATCCATCTTTACACCAGTGTTCAATATTTAAATTGTTCATGCATCTTTCATTTTCTGCCAAAGATAACACTGTATATGAAACCCTTAGCTAAGAATTTAATATAGCTAATAAACACATGCCAAAATGAATACAAAGAAATGCCAATGAATTTCTAAGTGCTTGGAAATAAGGAAGGAAACAAACCAAGGTCTACCCTGTTAGCAACTGCTCCAGAATGTTTATTTCCATGTTTAAGAGCAAATCTAAGATGTAACCAGGAATTAAAAAAGAATTCTTTTATCTGCTTGCATGTCTATCTGAAAGTGCTTGTTCTTTTCCTTTCTGGAACTGGGATGAAGGCTGACAGTGTTGGGCTCAGAAAACAATTTCTGACAAAATCCTTACAGTGCTGCTATTCCACATATTGCCTTACTGCTCCATCTCCTTTGCTTTTGTATGCCAATTTCCTTTGGGAATGTCTTGGGGAATGTTATTTATTCTGATGCAACTATTTCCAATTTTTCTGTTGTAATATTTCTCTGAAGCATATGTTAATAAAACATTATTGATTTTTGGTACTTTGACTCCTTTATTATTTATCTTAGATGTGATATTTTTTTTCTTTCTGCTAAAAATACTGACTTTATTGTAACTAAGGTCATCTTCTGCTGAAAAGCCCCAGCAATAATTAGGCAGGATGTATATTTCCCATTTTATTATAAATTTTAATTTCTTCTTTAAATCAAAAATACATGGAAAAATTAACCATGATGAAATTCCCAGATGTTGTGTGGCAATTATTTCAGTCTTACTTGGGTTTAAAAAGGGTAGACACAGGTTTTCTTCAATGGTGCCATGTGAAGGAAAAGTATAAAAACCCATAGTACATATTATCTTCAGATTCCTATTAAAAGAAAAACTATTTTCCTCCTAATGTGTTAACAATTTTTTTTCAATAGTATCCAGGGTGTACAGCCAAGAGAAAAAACTGTGTTTATTTTTCATAATTGGCTAGGATACAAATTGTCTTCATCTTTTCAATACCTACTTTGATTGTGACTTTTCAGAGACCTTAGACAAAGTCCTTTAAATATGGGTTCCTGTACTCTTTTTTCTCAATTTCTACCAGTTTAATGACAAATTGCAATTAAACTATTCTGTTGGTAAATTTAATTAATCTTTACTGCAAACTATACTTTGAAAATTAGTCTACAATCCCATCTGTAGATTATGTTTTCAGTACTGTATTTTGTTTTCAAATTATTTCAAGAGTCAAAAGTTGCAGCACTCTGAAATAACATCAGAGGTGAGTTCACCCTTGGAAACTAGGCACCAGAGTGGCCTAAATGTGCTTCAATAACTCTCTTCATGACATGTTTGCAAATTTAACTCTGCTGACTACTTCAGAAGCAGCTCCACGTGCCCATGAGTGTTCAACCCTGGACTTAATGAGCGGTGACCTCTCCTGGAGTGGTCACGCCTTAAGGTGTTAGTGAAGGAGAGGGTGTTACTTTGGGATTATATTTTCTTTCTAGTAGTAGTTAATCTGTAGATGTTGTAGATAACCTTCTTTAGTCTATTCGTATCTGAAAAAATCTTAGTATTTATATCCTAATTATTTTTCTTCCCTCTGCCTCCAGGGTGGAGCTGATCTAATTTTTTTCTGAGCAAGAAATATGCTTTCTTACATATCCTGAAACATTATGTATTCAGATATACTTCTTTGAATTATACATTGAGAGACCTTGACAATCGGGTTTTAAGTGACACCTTGCCACAGTGGCAAAGAGAGTATTTTTCTTGTCAGTGTCAAATTGAGTAAAAAGTGTATGTTTAAAATGTAGTCAGTTGTCAGAAAAAAGCAAGGTCTTGTCACAAAGAAGAAATGTTAAAGTTGCCTCTTTGTTAAATGTATTGTAAATGTCCATATTACGTGTGTTTTTAATAAATTAACACCCTTAGAGCAAGAAAATTTTCTACTTACACCTCCAAAATACTGTCTGAGGTAGTGGACATACCAGCTCCCAGGAGAAGCAGCATCTTGGTAATCTTAGATCCAAGCAGCATTTCTTAAGTCTTTCTTGGATAATGCAAACAGCTTGAGTGTCACCTGTTCCTAATTAGCTACTTGGGCAGCTGAATGTTTTGGGAGGATTTTTTTTCAACTTTGAAATGAAACTTTTTGGCTTGACTAAGTTTTCAATTTATTTGGTCAATCCTGTGTTGTTTTGAATGAGCTAACTTGGTTACTTTTAAAACATCAGCAAGTAGGTAAATTCCAAGAATCATTACAGAAAAAATGTTTGATCCCTATTTGGGACAAATAGGTTTTTTATGGTTATTTCACTTATGTTTCCCAGTGTTTATGGTAATTTTTTCTACCTCCACAAGAAAATACCATGGGTAGGGAGTCTCCTTGGTACTTCAGCCCTGGAAGCACTTGTGCATCTAAAAATTGTTAGAGGAGGTATGTGGG